TCGCACACTTGATTTACTATCAGCTAAGTGTTACTTTTATTATGCACGTATATTTGAATTAAATAATATGCTTGATACAATTCGACCGTATGTATTTTTGATAAATTTATGGAATATCTTTTTTAAATATTTCTTCTATTTAGATTTTTACATAGTCGATTACGTACAGCAACATTAAGAAATGATTTTGAAGGAACAGCTGTATTAATTAATTTATTATTAAGAAATTATCTTCATTATAATTTATATAGTCAAGCACAAAAACTTGTACTTAAATCGGTTTTTCCTGATCATGCATCTAATAATGAATGGGCACGATATCTTTATTATCTTGGTAAATATTTAAGATAATTTCCAGAAAAAAAGCAATATTTATTTTATAGGCCGTATACGTGCAATGCAATTAGAGTATACTAAAGCTCATCAACATTTATTAACAGCCATTCGAAAAGCACCGCAACAAACGGCTATTGGTTTTCGACAGAATGTATAATGACTAGACTAAAAAAAATCGATTACTAAAATATTTTTTCTTCTAGGCGCATAAATTTCTTATAACAGTTGAATTGTTATTAGGTGATATTCCTGATAAGGCAACGTTTAAAAATCCTCAACTTAAACGTTCATTAGATCCATATTATCAATTGACATTAGGTACGGTGAAAATTGTTTAGATTGATTTTTATGTATTCATTCATTGCGTTTTCTAGCTGTTCGTGCGGGAGATTTAGGTCGATTTAAAGAAGTTCTTGATACATTTTCTGATCGATTTCAACAAGAAAAAACTTGGTCACTTATTATTCGGTTAGTTATAGAATTTATTTCTAAAAATAAATTATTCCTTGTTTTTTTTTTTTTGGTTTGAATTTTATTAGATTACGACATAATGTTATTAAAACAGGCATTAAAATGATTAGTTTATCTTATGCTAAAATATCATTTTCTGATGCTGCTCAAAAATTACAACTTGATTCACCAGAAGATGCTGAATATATTGTAGCTAAAGTAAGTCTTGTTATGTAGTCGAAGACGATTAACAATGATCTGGAGAAAATATGAAAATGGTTTACTTAAGGATGGGCTATTACTATCCATCTAACCTCACACTCTTAATGAAATATTAAGGGGTATCTTACAATAAGTGAGAATAAATTGTCAAACTAAAATTTTTATTACATATTGATCTAACCAATATCTTTAATTTTTCTACTGGATTTTAATAACACTTTTACTAATTACGAGAAAATCTCTTCAGTTGACCTCTTCCGATTTCAATGATGTTTTTGCCTATAGACATTACATAGCGTTCCAATAAAAGTCCTAAAAAGACTTGGGTTCATTTGAGGTTATACTAAACTATCGAAAAACCTAAGTGAGTTCTCTACATGCTCAAAGTTTTATATGAAAAATTCGATAACTTAGTCAAGTATTTTTTAATCCAAAAATTATTGAAACTGGAAGGGGCCAGCTGAAAATGTGCCTTCGCAAGTTATTTTTATGTGTTCAGGAATGCATTGATATCTAGGATCCTTCAAATTTAATGAAGAATTTTATCTTCAATTTTCTTCAGTTGCGAATAAAGCAAAAATTTTCCAGTAGATAGCAATGGTCAATTTAATAATGTGTGGTGTGTACTAAAAAGAAAACGTTTGTGGAAAAGTTTTTTTGAACAACAGTGCTCATTATAAAAATAAATTACAAAAATGATGAACAAAATATCTTATTCATTACAGTGGGTCATAGGATACAATGCAGAGCATGTTTATAAACAATGAGTTTTTATTATACTTTACATTTTTGCAAAATTATTGTCTTGTACAAATTTAATAAATAAAGATTTTATAAAAATCAAATATGAAAAATCATGTACTTCAATCTTAACTATGCACTTGAGTATTAGTTTAAGCTAAAAAACTGAAACTTTGAAAAAAACAATTAAAGTCTTGGTTTGATATACATGAAATAAAATTTTTAGTCTTCTAATTATGTGAAGTAAAAGCACGAAAAACATCATTTATCCGCATTTGTTATGGGATACGATTGATAGTTAGACAAGCTCATACAATTATTTTTCGTCTTAAAATCAATGTAAAATGTATTTTTAATGAACGGATCAATCTTTTGAAAGATCTCTAGAATTTTTATAAAAATTCAAATAATATTTCACGAAACTGTCTAAGAACTACTTTCAAAAAATTTTAGGCTATACGTGATGGAGTAATAGAAGCAAGTATAGATCATGAACAAGGTTACGTACAATCGCGTGAAACTATTGATGTTTATACAACACGTGAACCAATGAATGCATTCCATCAACGTATTGAATTTTGTCTTAAAGTTCATAATGAAGCAGTAAAAGCAATGCGTTATCCACCAAAGAAATATAATGAAGATTTAGAAACAGCTCAAGTAAAATAATTTTCCATGATTTTTTTTAATTGTTTTGTAAATATTTGTTTTTCTTCTAGGAACGACGAGAACGTGAACAAGAAGAATTAGAATATGCAAAAGAAATGGCTGATGATGAAGATGATTTTTAAAAGGAAATAAAAAATAAAATAAAATAGAACATTGACTTTGTTATCTATTGTCATTTGTTAGTTTTCTTTTCTTCTTTTATCATAAATAAAATCAAGATGCTCGCAAAATCAATTAATTTCAATTTCAACAACTTTTCCAGATATCAAATATACTGAAGATAAACCTTCACCAGCAAATAATAATAATAATATGTCTCGGTATATTGTTACTTCAAAAGCATTTGATATAGTAAATCTAACTGATAGTAAAAATGAATTATCAATAACGCTAACTGTTATATCATCAATCGAGAAGATGATGAATTTGTCAAATAATCTGCTGCTAATAATAACTACGTCTACAAATGAGCATTTATTTGAGAAACACTCAGATTTATTTAATTTAACTGTATGAAGTCTTTCTATAGTTATTTTATGAAACGCGATCTAAAATGAATGTTGAAATATAGAAGTACAAATTTGGACCTACAGACCGTGACAGACACCTTCGCAATTCTCTCCTAGAAAGTGCGAATAACAGCTATATCGTGTATTACATTTTAATCCGGCAGGGATTGCGCTAACAGTTTTCTTTTTTATTCAGTTGAACCGCATCTGTGGAGTTCACAACGCAAATGAGATACCAAATAATCCAAAAATTTTTAATGTCATAGAAGAGACTTATTTAAAGAATCTACCAAGATCTACAAGTGTCTGGCGCTGTTAACAGTAGCGTGAGTGTACCTCCATGCACACTCATATCGATCCTGACACTCACATACACACCTTGATACGAATTAAGAAAAATTGAATTATTTTGTACTTTCTTTGTGCGAATTACTTTGTAATTCATTTGCATCATCCAGTGGCTCTAAACGTATTTTCTCATTATTATATCAATAAATATTCTAAATTATCATTACGAAATTGTATTTTACATGAATTCGGTAACGAAAGAAGTAAACAATTTTTGACAGCTTTACATAATTTTGTACTAAGTTGCTCTGCTTATCAAATCATCTATCATTTATTACAAGTAAAAAGATCAATTTGTTTAAATAGTAAAGCAAACAAGAAGTAGTCAAACATCAAAATATTTTTGTCTTTTAAATATAATGAAAATATATCATTAGATGATGAAGATCATTTAAAACATTTATTTTGGTTATATGTTACCCATTGCATCACCATATAAAATAACATAAGAATTCGCTGATGTTATCAGTGGTTTACATAGTGATATGTATAAATTTTATAAAATACTTATTCGTTAAGATTTGACTACTACTAGAAAACTTATGAATCAGTGAATGTCTTTCGTTGAAATAATTTAGTGAAAGAATTGAAAATAAAATATTTCAATGAAATGTAAGATTTTATTTTTAGGCTCATAATTGAATTGTTTTTCAAAAGGTAATACTAAATTAAGATTAAAAAAAAGATTTTGATTTAAATATAACAGATCAATAATTAGAATTTGATGCTGAATTAAATAGTGGAAACCACTCTTAATTCATTGATAATAAAAGTTTATGATAAATTTCCATATTATTATCAATAGTATCAACAAATGAAACATACCTACTATTATCTACTTCTTTTTTACTCGATTAAATAAGGAATGTCGAGCTATACTTATTTTTGTTTTTCCATGTTGGTATTTTCTTTCTCGTTTTTATATTTGTTATATGACAATAGTTAATTTTACATACAGAATTATTTAACTTGAATGTTCCATTATATTTATGATGACTTTGCAGTTGAGTTATCATGTGTGTTTGAGAGAAAAAAGATTATAATAGTTTTTTTTTTTTTCTATTTCGTTTATTTCTGTGCTGTTCTTGTTTATTTATTATTTCTGAAGTATATTATTGACTTTTGTTCTTTTTATTTTAACAAAAAGAATTCAATGAAATAATCTTTACAATATGTACACAGTTCTATTTTATATACAATATTTATCAATTCAACAATATGATTGGTCTATTGACAAAAGGTATGAATGATTAAAACATTCGCTGAGTTATAAGTTGCTCGAAATATTAGGCTCCGAAAAATAATATAAGTCTTTATAGTTCTTATGTATTCGATAGAAGAATAAATAATAGCACCCACCTGTAATAATCATCACATTGCCTGTTGACATACATTCTGTACAAAAAAAAGTATTTTTCATCGAGTATATATTTGTTATATATATATTTGCGTACATATTTTATTCTCTTCTCCCATTATATCGTCTGGTATAAAGCATTGTGAAGTCGAGTGTGTTTTTTCATTGCTCGTAGTCAAAGAAAAGTCATAGTACCTATTTATTTGAAATTTATCTGAAATAATATTATCCGATAAAAATGCACGAAAAATTTTTGAAAATCGAATTCATTTCTATCGTTCCACTAACAGGTAAGAAATCTTTCAGACTCAAAGTGAATTATACCTATTATTTTGAATTTTGAACCATTTCTTTCTATAGTATTGTTAATGACAATGTTGTTCACAGGAACAACAACATCATCTGTTGAAAGATATTATGCTCGTGGTTTCTTTTTCAACAATCATAAAACAAGTACGATTAGTACTACTAATGAAGAATCGTCATTTCGTCAAAGTTTTAACAAATGGCTCAATGAATTCTTATCAGGAGATTCAAATAAAGAAAAAAATTCTAATTCATTTAGTAAATTGGCTTTATTAAAACAATTCTTATTTTCATCATCATCGTCATCATCATCAAATGGCAAAAGTAGTAAACTTGATAAACTTTTTCAACTATTAAATGAAATTGCTACAGATGATAAAAATCAATCATCATCATCAACAAATAAATTAAATAAATTACTACAATTTTTTAATACTTATGCATCATCATCATCATCACATAATATTCAATTAGCTTTAAAATTAATTAATCTTGCACAAGGCAATGGTGGTTTCAGTTCATTAAGTATTAGCGATATGAAATCACTTATTAATTTTATTAGCTAATAAATCAAACAAAACAAAAAACAATCAACGATTGTAAATTTTCTCAATACTTTCTTTTTCTTTTTGTCCTTCATTTAATAATGAATAAATAGATGTGCAAATTATCGTTGTATTGTTTTTTCGTTAGTGACATATGTTTCTAGTACTCTGTCTTGTTTCCATTCAATCATCATTCACTCATATACACTCTTCCTCTTCTAGTCTTTTTTGTCTAATTGTTTCTATTCGATGCACCTCCTGCTGATTGGATTGAACATGAAGAGAGTATAGAAAGAAAAATGTACGTGACGCCCATGTCTGATGATAGAAGTTATTTAGTTTTTTATTTTGAAGAAGAATTATTGCTGTAACATTCATCATCACTGACAACATCAATATCATTCTCCTCACAACACTCATCTTCATCGACACCTTCTGATAATGGACTACCCGATGTATTCTGTAATTGTCGACGAACTTGTTTTTTATGTTTCATACGACGATTTTGAAACCTAAATTATATAGAAATTAATATTTTTAATTAAGATCGTAAATTAAACTTACCATGTTTTGACCTTCAAATTGTGAAAAACGACGAATAAAAAAAAAGAAAAACGAAAGATTAATAATAAAAATATTCTTAGTTTAGTTTTCAAAGAACGAAAAATTATAAATTTCTATTTACCTGTGCTTCCGATAGATTAAGTGCATTAGCCAATTCAACTCGCTCTGGTGTACTTAAATATTTTTGTCCATCAAATCGTTTTTCAAGACCATTAAGTTGATGGTCGCTGAACACTGTTCGAGCTTTGCGACGACGACAATGCTTGAGCGAATGTTCACTGTTAAGATAGGCATGAAAACTCAAACCTAAAACGATAGACATTACAGATGGTCAATCGACGTAATATACTCGCTAGACTATAAGACACGCCCTGTCTGACCTTGAGATGAAATCACGCCTTTCTTTTTTTACTCAACAGGTGTGCGACTTTTCGTTTTGATTAAATAATTACTTTATGAATAGATCACTAGTTGAACTATGTTCATTGAAGAAAAAAAAAAAAGAAAGATGTTGAGCCGATTAGTAAAATATTCTCATTAGAATAACTATTCGTCATACTCATTAGTCATCTCATCATTCAACGACAACATTATTGTCGTCTTAGTGGACATGCAAAAAAAGAAAAACGAAAAAGAGAAGATGACGACCACCCGTCGATTTGCTAACAAGAATGTCTCTACCTATCATTGGATTACTTTTTTTTTAACGTACCATGAAAAAAGAATGGATGTAATTCAGGCTTAATAGCGGCATATTGATTAAATTGATTAGGTGGTTGAAAAAAATTAAGTGATATTGGTGTTATATCATTAGGCAATACAGGAATAGATTCTTTTGGTGGAATAGGAAAAGGATTTGATGGTATTGATACAGGTACTGCCGTAGTTGCAGCTGATGTTGTTGTTGGTCGTTTGAAAGCAGAAAGTAAATCATCAATCAAAAAACTGCTCTTGATCGTTGTAGTCATATTTATGTTTGTATTTCAATCAAGTGATAATAGATGCTCATCAACATTTTTTTCTCTCTTGTGTTAGTCTCACTGGTAATACTATGACAAGAATTTCCATAACAAATTGCAAGCAATCAAAATGAGAAAGGAGAGAGAAAGAATTTCATTGGTACTGAAAGTTGAAACGAGAAAACATGATCCTCATTGGACGATAAAATTGTTCTCTCTTTTTCTCTTTTTCTCGTGCTAATTTTGTACTAATATGCTTTGAAGAGGAAAGAAAGAAGAGTTTTATTCGGTTCGACGTTCTTAGTTAGCATATTGGAGGATTTACTATATAAGTCGATGTATTTCGGTCCACTCTTTTCTAATTAGTAAGGATGATGTTTGAATAGCATGCAATGCTTTTACAAGTAGAAATAATTAAATCAGATCAATCCAGAGTATTATTTTTTTAGACATCAGAATAGAAGAAAAGAAAAGGTAATAACAACTGATGAAGAGATTCGGAAATGAATCAAGATTTGCCAATTTAAATATGTCACTCATATAAATGTATCCTAGTTTAAAATTATATGAGAAGAATACTTAATAGCAAATGTTTATTACGAGAAAAGAAAAAGAAAAGACATTGGTGTATAATTGTGATTTTATGTTATTCTTTTTCTTTGAGATTATTTAAAGCTTTTTTTCATGATATTTATTTTTTATTTCAAATTATCTTTATATTGAATTCAACTGGAAAAATAATTTCATGCATTATCGTTCCTGATACAGAAAAGCAAAATATTGTAGAGGAAAAACAGGAAGATTAATTTTCACAATGTAACACAAAGTACTCGATGAATTAATTTATTGGTTTATTAGAGATATTCATTTTATGCGACCAACATTTCTATTTATCGAGAAAAACATGGAAAATGTTAATTATATTGATTACAATGTATGTTTCGTTCGAACCATTGTGCCTGAATGCTCATACTTCTCAATAAATGAAACATGAGTCAAATGTTTATATAAATCTAATAGATGTGTAAATATATATTGGTAATTGTGGCCTAATCGCAGTATATTGACATTTTTGCTTGCAACAATGAACTTCATAGTAATACTCGATAAAACGAGTTCTACTGTTTTGATGAGTGTTTCGAGAGTCTTTTTTTTTCTTTTACATTGTCTGTAAATCTTTCTATTCGATACTAAATGTCTTCTTAAAGTACTTTAATCAGAAAATTACGTAAAGCAATACAAAACAAAAGAACTTAATGAATTCCATCGGATTATTTTCTATTTATATCAATGAGGACATAAACCAATAAACTAGTGGCGTATCTAGAATATCTTCAGATTAGAAGACATATTTCTTAAATAGTTATTGAAATTATGTCATCATTTTAAATGGATAGGAATTATTTTACTTTATAAACATATCATTAACACCCGCACACCCACCCGCACACTCACACCTACACCCGATACTTACTCGTGAATAAGTTACGGAAGGTAAATTTCATGCTATTACAGATTACAAAATATTATTAAGAAAAAAAAAACAGATGTAAATGTCTCATTGTACTCAATAATATTTCCTAGTCATGTTTTTTTACAGTCTATAGAACTTAATGGAAAACCTTGAGACAAATCTATTCATTGAAATATCTAATCCTTACTTATTTAATTAGTACTCTGGAAAAAGCATTGACTATTCTCTAGATAATCTGTTTACTTTTAATGTCATATGATTTACTTCATTTTTATCTCACGCATTGATTAAATGATTCTTTTCTTTCTTGTTTTTTTTTTTATTTAACAATGTCTATCAGAAAACGTTTATTAAACATTTTCTATAATTTCATCATTCATTATTAACGTGCAACACTTTTACAAGTACACATAATTGAATTAATCTAAATTTATATAAAGGATGTCCCAGACGTTCCGAAGTAATTCTAAAATGCATCATTCTCGCATTCAACAAAAGCAAACTCTTTGAAACTTTAGCAGACGATTGTACCTTTATTGTACTAAATAACCCTAAGAAATATTCGTATAATTCTGCACAATTGAAACAGCTGTTCATGTCGATTTTCAATTCAGTGGCAACAAGTCTTTTTTTTATTCTGTTTCGATTACTAATCTACAAAAACTTCATGTAACTACAAATAGATTCACTAAGGCATTTAATGGTTGCTGAGTTAATCTAATCCGAAAAACGATCTAATTTCTTCTTTTTTTTTGGTTTTTTATTGGCTAAACGTGTCGCCAAGTGTCAATATGAAGTAAAAACATTATTCAGATGTTATCAATCAACGACATCCTTTCACCATCGCTAAAAAATCGATGACGATAACGTATGATATGAAAATACTGATTCTAACGTGCATAACTAACATCTCGTATAAGATACTCGTTCACTTTTTCTCTACATGTTCTATTTCGAATTTTTTCAATGGAATAATTACAATAATATTATTGCTCAATCAACTCCGTTTTCTCCATCAGAATGATAGTAGACCCTTGAACCATGATGAAATTGTTAGACATCAACTTCATCATATTATTGCTATAGTCAATGGAGAATTATTTAGTATCATTATTCTTTTATGGATTATCTGTTTTTCTCTACAATTGGTTGTGGCTAATGAAGAGCTACGATAGCATTACTTGGATATGTCTTTCATATATTGATTCATCGAATCAACTTGTGCTCAATTCATTATTTTTGCATTTTATACTGAACTTAGTAACTCGTGGATGATTGAGAACGAATCACATGCATATATGATCGGTGTCATCATGCTAAAAGTGTTCTTATTCTTTGTAACACGATATGCTAAAAAAGAGCCTGACGTTTTACTGAATTCAACTTTGAGCAGCTTCTTTTTGCGTTTTGTGAAATTCGTCTAACTATCACATTCTTGATACTGAGTCATTAGCTCAGTAACTTGCTTGCTAACATTGACTTGGTGTTGTTTCTTCCATCCCTTAATCATTTCATGTTCTATCTGATATATTATGTCAATAAAGAGAATCAATGTCTTCATAAAAGTTCTAATTATGTCTTCTCTAAAACGTTTTTTTAAAATTTGATTCAATTTTTATAGTTTAAAACAAATCGGATACTTACACACATACTAATCAATTTTTAAATTTATTCTGATAAAATTTTAAGCGAAAAACAAAAGTTCGTATCTCGTTTAAAAAACCAATATTTTTTTAATAAATAAAGAACAAATGAGAAAATTTTTTAACTAGATTAAAGATTTTTCTTTTAGATGTTTATCTATAAAAATATAACCTATTTTTTATTATTCGATCTAAAAAGAAAAACGACTATTACAGAATGAAATTATTTTAAACTAACTGAGTATAATCTCATACTTTATCTTTTCAACATTGATATTTATCTAATTTATCAAGTCCAATTATGTAAAAGTGAAAAATTCTTGTTTTTTGATGACTAAAACTGTTTGTACTTCCTATATGAATCATTTAAGTAAATTTCTTAACAAACTGTTGTCTATATACAGATTTAAAAAGTTATACCGTTCATAGTTACGTTAAAACTTCGGATTATGATTAAGTTGAAAATAATTTGCAATAGTTATAATACTTTTTTGTCTTAGTGATGGAAACACTATGCATAAGATAGTGTTTATACTTTTCTCATTTTGGTCTATTGCCCATGCCGAAAAAAAAAAGCAGTTAAAGAATTTGGTGATTTACGAAATGTTACTTTTCAATATGATCAAGATCACAAACAACGCATGTAGGTGGTCTTGGATACCGTTAAACATGTTTTGTTGTCAATTGACTAGAGCCAATAAATTGCGATGCAAAACTAGTGGATAATGTTTGATCTATAGAAAACATTTGGTGCACATTAAAAGAGAAATTACGACAGCGAAAATACAACAATATTGAAGTATTGACAAACAACGTTAAAAAGGAATTGAAAAAATTTAGTGTTCGTTTATGTCAATGAATTATGGATGATATACCAGCACGACTAAAATTAGGAATTGATTAAGATGGCAATCAAATGAATGAACATTGATAACTTGAAATACGCTTCTTCCTTTTTTTTGAAAAGTTGTATTATTTCGAAAATAGTAATCAAGATGATCAGGAAAATTTGAAAAAAATAGTACATAATAGTTTGTTACAGATTGTCATCCATAGAAAAAGCTATAGACCTCAAATTTTATAGCTATTTAGTACACTATAGGTACAACCACCTGCTAAAGTTTCGAAGAGTTTGCTTTTGTTTAACGCGGGAATGATGCATTTTAAAATTATTTCAGAAATTCTTGAACATCCTTTATATCATATGATAAAAAGATAACTAATAGGAAATGAGAAAAAGACTATATAGCACTAAAAAAAAACTATGTCATGTTGTTTTATCATTTCTTCTTTCTATTAAGTTGAGACGTGTCACTCACACATACACACACACATATTAAGTTTGCAAGAAGAATGAACACTATCGAGATAACCCAAAACTGACTAATAGGATAATAATGTGAAAAAAAACATGTACAAATATTGTGTTTAGTTTATGTTATACGCTGTTGTAATGCATTTGCTTCGAGACTAGCCAATTCTTCTTGTGTCATTTCATGTTGTTTATTAAGTTCAGCTATTTGTTGAACAAGAAGAAGACGTTCTTGTAAGATTTTTTCTAATATAGTTTCATTCTAAACAAGAAAAAAGAATTGTCAATATCATCCGAAACGAAACTTTAAAAGACAAACATACAGTTGAAGCTGATGGTATATTGCTTGATGTGCCACCATAGCCATTACCAATTGTACTTCTAAGCATACTTGTTGTTGAATTACTTTTAGGAAGACCTGATTCAAACATATCATATGATGATGGCATATCTATTGGACTAATCATGGATGAACGTGATTCTGGATCAATATTTCGACGTTGAGAAATTTGTTTTGAAAAATCATTATGATTACTTTCATTTGTAGAAATAGCTGATGTTGGTCGTGATGATTTTTTTGACATTTCATTTGTTTCACTATAAGTTGAATAACGATATTGATTTGTATCTGTTGGTGTAGCTAATCATAGACAAGAAAATAAATAAATTCTTTCAACTAAACTACATAACATTCGAGTTTACTCGATTGTGAAATACAGTGCGAAAAGATCTCCAATTTTGGCAACGGGGCTTGAATTAACATAAGAATAATAAAGGATTTCACTTTCTATAATTGTTCTTGTTTTATTGAAAGTTTTCATTTTATCGGTCTTGCTTATAACAGCTGGCTCGAGACTAGCACATCACTTTCAATTATCTCAAGTAAAAGATGGAAGCAAAATCGTCAAAATAGTTATTTTGCAGAAATTATTAAAGATGAACGAAAACTCATATTGAAGATTCAAAAATTATTATCTCGAGACATTAATCTCACTGGCAAAGTTCGAACAAGTATCTAACGACATACTTTACAGATTTTGTTACAGCGAAAAATATACAAGTTATGAAGGCCAAATGCGCACGCGACCGACTACAGAAATGTTCTACTTCTCACTCTATTAATTAATAATAATAAAGATTACCATTACTCATACGTTGAGTAAATGTAAGTAATTCATCTGTTGCATTATTTTTTGGTCTTTGTATATGAATATTAGTTTGATTATTTGACCAAGTTTGCCGTGGTTCAGCTATTTGAAAATCTGTTTGATCTCGACGAATACGAGTTGAATTTATTGTTGATTGTTGTTGTTGTTGTGAAGTGCAATTACCAGAACATTTTTTATTTGATATAATTTCATTATTAACAAGTTGACAAACAGTTTGCATCATTGTTTGTAACATTGAGATTTGGTTTTCAATTTTTTGTTGAAAATCTAATTGAGCTTTAATTACAACTGAAAGTTGATCTTTAAGAATATTTGTTTCTTGATTTGGTTGACCTTTTGTATTAAGAGCACACTTAAAATCAGAAGAGATTTAAAAAATAAATAAAACAATAACAAAAATCGTTTTACTTGTTTAACATGACCAGTAAGTGCAATAAGTGCAGTAACAAGTGCTGTACTACATGTATTTGATTGATTATTGAATGATGGATCATTTTTATCCGATTTAAATCCTGTTATAGTTTCTAATTCACGTAATTCAGATGATAAACGATCAAGCAACTAAACAAGTAAAATTTTTTCAATAGTTTTACATTTTCAATTACAGTAGTCACAAGAAGTTATGCTATCAGATAAAAAATACATAAACTTCAATCCGTTTGCCTAATGTTTTGACCACAAATAGAACTCAACAACGCTGATCACAACTAGTCACTCGAGATTGATAGATCATAAGGGGACTCCTTTCTAAATGTTAAAATCAAAATTTTTTCGACTTTTAACTTTTTATGGCTAATATAACTTCCAAGTGTGCTCTGTCAAATGCCATATAGATGTAAACTTTTCGTTGTTAGTTAATACTATTATTAGGACCAACTCTGAATTTCTAATGATAAGAACTTGAGCTGTGATTACTATTTGTATGCGAATTTTTTCTCATGATAATGATTATTTTTCATTCCGAAGGTGCTGAGAATATGGGTCATGGACCTTTAAGACCGCTGGCTACTGTCAGTTTAGTTGGAGGACAGAATTTCTGATAGAAATAGAAAAATTTGCTTGTCATTTTTCTCGAAATCAATTTTTACATAAAAAAATGCAAAAGTGCTCCTGTTAGCCTGGCATAGTATGTTTGATCGAGCTGAAACATTTTTTACAGGTGGTGGGCATTGCTTGGGGTACCTCTTGTTGTTTGTTTTGAAAAAAAATTGCATCATTGAGTTTTGGCAGACTCTACAAAAAAACCTATGTAGTTTTGGGATATGCTCAGTATTTTGATCTTTCTATTCGAGTGAACGGAGATAAAATGAAACCAAGAATATTAGGCATTCGAAACAGTGTCTGGTGTCTATAATAGAAATTTCAGTTCTATCAGAAGTATTGCGACTGAGAAAGCGAGATGATATTTAGTTTTTGCAACCAAGATATTTCCTAGAAGAAAGTATTTGAGAATTTAGAATCTACAACATTTTTTTTCTACTCATAGAGATCTATATACTCTGAAAGTTTCAAGTATTAATGATAAGCGTTCTTCAAAAATTCCAAAAAGGTGGGTGTGGCTTTAATGCAAAAGTTTTACGGTAAAAGCCCTGAGTTTTTGCCTAGGACCCAAAATAGACATTTTTGGCACTTCTGACTTTCTACTACATAAATGTGTTAACCTTCATTTTCTTATTAGCAAATAAAGACGCCATGTCTACGTTATGTCGCAGTTACGATACTTCAATTTATTGCAATCTTGGGCCGTGGAGAACTCCCATTGATAACTGGAATCGTGAAGTTTTCAAAGAAAAATTGATTAGAGCAGATTATTCACTATAATAATAGTTAAAACTAGTCAGAGATATCGGTTACTCTTCGACGGTTTGCATCAACTCTCATAAAGACATTATTCAAAGAATACATCATGAATCAGGCAAACTAAAACTATTAGACATGGAATTTTTATTGATAATAGAGCCAGCATTGACCTATCCGAACGTCTTGAGATTTGTTTTCTATGCTAAGATATGTCCATCTGAAGAATAAACTATGTTAACCGTCTAGCTCCTTCGCATGCAGATTGATCAAATCCTTATGTTTAGAGTTCAATATGCTCTATTTGTAGTCAAGCTATGAGAGTAAAGGATTAAAGCTTAGATACTTTTTACTAAGTAGCGAGACTTTTTGCAACTACTGTATCTACTAGTTTAAGTTGATTTGTTGATAAATTTCCAGTTGATTCAGTTCCAGTGGTTTTACCACCTGTTTTTGATACATCAGACATAAATGAGACGTTATTAACTGAGCGAGCTCCAGTTGACTGTTGACGAGATTGAGAATAAAGACTAGGATTACGGGTAGATGATGAATTTCGTTGTTGTTGTTCATGATCATTTAATAAATGAATATTTGATAGTTCATTATGATGATCAATTTTTTTATTTGAACGACTTAAACGAACAGGTTCATTTTCAAGTTCATCTTCTTCTCCTTCACCAACATCAGCTGAACTAACTGATAAATTATCTAATAAAATATAAATTAAAATCTATTGGAACATAAATAATTGAATACCTTCTTCCGATTGATTCCAATCTGCACCACCTGGTGAATTCAAATTTCTTGTCGATGATGGTCTAGAAAAAAAAAAAGAAAAAAAAACATTACGAAAACACTTATCCTTCATACCTTGCTGCTGCTGCTGATGTTGTTTTTCTTGTATGATTATCATTTAAACTTGTAAAATGATTTTTTCCACTACGCAACTAAAAAATCATTTTAATCAAATAATTGGTTGAGAAAAAAGAGTTTTTTTTTGTCTCACTATACTATTTTTTGGAAGTGCTTTATCCGAGCGACTAGTTTGTAAAACATTAGTTGATCTTTGCATTAATTCATCAATCTAAATAAATTTGCTTTGTTTTCATACATATATTTTATTTTTTGTGAGAAAAATGTTTACATCTCGTTCATTAAATAATATTTCACGTAAAATACCCAATTGATTACTATTATTTTTTCTCGCATCATGAACAGCTAGAAAATAAATATTAAAATGATAATAGAAAAGAATTTTAGTTGATTATAAATACCTTTTACTAAAAGTTTTCGTTGTTTTTCTTCTTGAATTAATTGTAAATTACGTGATTGATAGGATTGTTTTCGTCGAGACTAGAATAAATATAAATCTATTTACAAAGAAAAAATATGCTATGATTGATTTTATTCACAGCTTCATCATCACTAAGTCGATGTTGTGAAAGGTCACCAATTGATGTCTAAAATAAATTTTAATTAAAAAAAAAAAGCAAATGAGAATTTGTTAAACAAACGGTATTTCTTACATCCCAATCTTGACGTTTTTTTAAAGTTGATTTCTTTTGTGGACGGCGAATATTTGTTTTCGACATGATGCTCTTGAAGTGTAAATGTTGAAAATATGAACTACAATGGTAAGAGGAAAAAAAATTGAACCATTAGAAATGTATTTCTATGACGACTGTCCTCTTTTTCACTCTGTTACTGTTGTTAAATCAGCGTCATCTATTCATATTTGAATGCTTAGCAACGATTCTTTTTTTTTAATAACAGATATGTTTTGTTACCACAAGGTCGATAATCGTCTTTAATCGAATCTATCAACATGTTGAAAGCAGGTTTACTGCCATCACCGATTATCACTCCCTTATCGTCGAATTTAGCAACGTCAAAAAATAAAATTGATACACAAACTTTTGTTGAGCTTCGATCAGGTTTGTTTATTGAACTTTGTTTTAATACTAAGTATTAAAATTTTTATTTTTTATACGATTAGAGATTCCAAATGTAAGAATATACTTTAGTGTCGATGGTACAAAACCTGATCCATTTCAAGTATTTAAAACTGGTACTGTTTCAACTTATCTTTATCGTGGAGCATTTCGTCTTGGACCAGGACGACGTGTTGTGAAAGCGATTGCTGTTACGACGTAAATAATCGTTGTTACTCTTCGATTAATACCTTGCTATTTATTATTTTTTAGTGATGGATTGCGTGAAAGCCATGTAACAACAAAATATATTGATGTGAATGATATGTATTCAGAGAATTATCCGCAAAATCCAGATGAATATTTAGAGAATGAACAAACATTTTATCAAATGGATAAAAGTCCAGTAAGTCTTTTCTCAACAAAATAATAGTTTAATCATATATATATATATGTCTATAACATACGTAGGAACGAACTCCACCATTGAAAAAGAAGAAAAAACCACGTACTCATAATGATCATCGTCGATCTAATTCGGCCAATCAATCGAAAAACGATCCTGGAGGAATAGCATGGGATGATGGTTTTAATGTTCAAGGTAGTATTGAAGGTCCGATTTCACCTGTTAATTATGCTGGCACACAAATTAATATTTGGGGTACGCCTGGAGGACATTGGACTGATGAATTATTGCACATTGCTGATCCGAATAGAAATCCTAATTATGGATATATGACTGAACAAATGCTCGAAGTAAGTTTTATACTGAAAGAAATATTCATTTTTTAATTATAATCTTAATTTTAGCGTTTACAACCATCAAGAAATTTACCTATTGCTCCACCACAACCATCTCGAATTACTGATGTTACTCAAGACGAAGAAAATTTCTGGGATCGAAAACCAAAACCATTCAGTCCAGGAAATGGAGATTGGAAGAAAACTCTTGAACACTTATTTTTAAATATTTATAACTATGTTAAAGATGAACAAGAATTACGTGAACTTTTTGGTTGGAAAAAATTCGGACGCGTATTAAAACCAATCTTTTTTTTTCTAATAATATTGGTTTTTTTTTCTTTCTTAGATTGAAACGGCTCGTCTTATTGATAAAGGTGGTAATTATCAAATAGTGACTACATTTAAAAAACCTCTTGGCGAACAAACATCTTATGAAGAACCTCCACCTGTTCGTAAACCACCTCCACCACGTCGACCAGCAAAACGTATACGAACACCACCTGATACAGAAGAAAGACCCGCTCGACCTACACAAATAATAACACCACCACCGTCTCCACCATTACCTCGACAAGAAGAATCGACGCAAGAAGCAGAACAACATACACCACGCATTTATACAGAAGAAACTGTGGTAAATTATTTCAAATATTCTTTTTTTCTTTAAATGATTTATTTGTATTTAAATAGCAACAAGGAACACTTGTACCATTTCCTGATTTTAATGTCGAACGAGGTAAAAGAAAACAGAAAAAAAAACCAAATGATTTACACTATTTTTACGCATTCAGATTGTGACAATCTTCGTAAAGCCATGAAAGGTCTTGGAACAGATGAGGATATGCTTATTCACATACTTGGTAATCGTAGTAATGATCAACGTTTACAAATTCGTGACAAATATAAAACAATGTTTGGTCGAGTAAGATATTGACGTAATTTACCATTCATTTTACTTTAAAGCAAATTCATATCTAGGATTTAACTGATGATATAAAAGGTGACACATCAGGAAATTTTTGTAAAGTGTTAAAAAATCTCTTATATTCACCTGTTGAATATGATTGTCATGAATTACGACGAGCTATTAGAGGAGCTGGTACCGATGAAGAAGCATTAATTGAGATTTTGGCAAGTCGTTCAAATAAACGTATAAAAGCAATTAATGAAAATTACCAAAGCTGTAAATATTTTATTCAGTTATTTAAATATTAATTTATTTTTTTCAATAGTATTTAATCGAACACTTGAAAAAGATATTGTTGGAGATACAAGTGGATATTTAAAAAAAATATTAGTTATATTATTACAAGGACAACGGCCAGAATCAAATGAAGTTAATGAAGATGAAGCAGAAAATGATGCAAAAACTTTATATGAAGCCGGCGAAAAGAAATGGGGAACGGATGAATCAAAATTTGTTGAAATTCTTGCAAACCAAAGGTTAATTATTTGTTGTTAATGTTTTATTGTTTTTTATTTGTATTCTCATTTTATTAGTAATGCACAACTGAAAGCTATCTTTGAAGCTTATCGACAATTTAGTAAAAAAGATATTGAAGCAGCTATTAAATCAGAAACAAGTGGAAACATATGTAAAGGTTTATTAGCAATTGGTAAGTGCATAGCTAAATCAATCTCTGACATATTAATCATATCAGAATCATGAAAATAAGCTCTTCTTATAAAGATGATAAATGAATGAATAATATACGTAATGAGAGAAGTCTACCTATTGATAAATTGCTTCAAGGCAAGACTAGGTGTATTATGTAGAATCAAATAAGCTGCGAATATCTTGAGAAGAGTTCACGAACTAAACTTATTATTGCCGAGATACTACACTCTTACGATAGTTTTTTAATAAATGTCGTGATCCCTACAAAAAAAAACTAGTTTTTGAATTTCAAATTGAAACTTTCCACAGAGACAGGGCTTTATGAAAATAGTTTCTTGCCAGTGTTTCAGGTCTTCTCGTTATTCTCATTTTTAATGTACAGCTATGGTAAAAGCGTATCTTTTACATCACTCATATAAATTGACAGATTCAATATTCATAACTCAGGATAGAAGCCAATCTAAAGATCTCAAACTTTCACAATAAACTACTCTCACTAAGGTCTATCTCTATGGAATTATTGTTTTTGCTCTGATTATCTCACAGAAGGTGTGTAAATGAAACTTTGTTGAAAGTTGACTACGTCAAATATTCCTATCCACAGATGGAATAGTATGATAACTCGTCAATTCAGTGTCAGTATGGATTTCAAACCGACCGACTTCATCTCGGGTCCCAATACTTTTCAGGATATTTAAAACTCATGTAAGCCTGCATGATGCACATAGCTCGACTCAAAATCGATTAATCTGTTGGTGAGCTTTCCTAGTAAGTCAGTTCAATAATTAAAAAATTGACATCTGAAATATGAGAGAAACATAACAAATAGAAATATTACTCTAAGTTTGTTGATTGAATAATATCTTTGTGGAATAGATTTAAATTAGGAATGAATCATATTAATAGATAATAGTTGAATTATGAATTTATTTTAGTTCGAGTTATGCGTAATCGACCAGGTTATTTTGCTAATCAACTCAAGAAAGCGTTAAAGGTATGTTTGATTATTTATTATATTTCATTTATATATAACGGAGAAGAATAATTTTTAGTCCGTTTTCTTATAAAAGAGACGTAAGGTAAATAACTGAGAATGTAATGAGCATGTAATGCATTTTGCTTGAAAATATATACTCATGTTACAGCTTCTGAAAAGAAAACTTGCATGCTATACTTTCACAATGATTTTATAAGAGAGACAAACGATAACAATGAATTGATTAAAAAATTCCATACTATATATCTATTCAGTTTTGATCAATTATAGCAAATGTCTGAAGAATAGAAAACTATGAACTAAAAATTGAATATGGGTTAAAATCTTCATGTTCAACATCTAATTGATAATTCAATATAGAAAAATAAGCATTTAATGACATCTTAGGGTATGGGTACTGATGAAGATGAATTAAATCGTGTTGTTATATCACGTTGTGAAGTTGATATGATTCAAATAAAAGAAGAATATGAAAATCTTATGAAGCGTTCATTAGAAAAACATGTTCAAGTATGTTAAATACTTTTTCTTTCTATTGAATACTTTTATCTTCTATATAATTATTTTAGAGTGATACAAGTGGTAGCTATCGAAAAATTCTTCTTGAATTATTGAAAGATCCAAGTCAACGAAGTCAAAGAGCTGGCAACGGTAAATTGCACTATTTTTTAGTTTGTAAATAAAAGAATACTTGTCTCTTGTTTTTTTTTTATAGAGAAATATGAAAATGTTGAATTGCCTGGTTATGAACAACCTGCTGTTTATAATGAAGAAATTATTGTAAATAGTATTCTTTGATTTTGTAGCTGATATCATTAGATTTATTTTATAGCAACAAGGAACAATGACAGCTGCTCCGAATTTTGATGCTAATCGTGATGCTGATGCTTTACGAAAAGCTATGAAAGGTTTTGGTACAGATGAACAAGCAATAGTTAATATATTGGGTAATCGAAATACGGCTCAACGATTACAAATAAAAGCTGCATTTAAAAATAAATTGGGTCGTGTAAGTGATTTATTAAAGTTTAATCTTTTTTTTTCTTTTAATGATCAATCTGATTTAAAATAGGATTTAATAGCTGATCTGAAATCTGAAACATCGGGTAATTTTTCGAAATTACTTGAACGTTTAATGATGGATCCTGTTGAACTTGATTGTTTTGAATTAAAACAGGCTGTAAAAGGTTTAGGTACAGATGAAGAAATATTAATTGAAATATTAGCAAGTCGTAGTAATGAACGATTAAGAGCAATTAATGAAACATATCAAAAAAGTATGCTTAATTAATGGATGAGATG